CTCTCTCTCTCTCTCTCTCTCTCTCTCTCTCTCTCTCTCTCTCTCTCTCTCTGTGTGTGTGTTTGTGTGTGTGTGTGTGTGTGTGTGTGTGTGTGCGCGAGCGCGCGCTTGTGGCAAGCACAGCGACCCCTCCAACACACATGCACGCAGATGAGATGAAGACGCACGCTGCCGCACACACGCACGCACGAATGCACACACGCACACACGAATGCACACAAGCGCCTCACGCAAGCATGCACTACCCTCAGAACACCCACACACACAGTACGAAGGGCGGCGGTAGGACTGACAGTAGGGCAGCGGTGGACCTACCGGTACAGCCCGTAGGGCCTTCCGGTACCGTTTTTTTTTTTCTTTTTTTCTTTTTTGGAACCATTTCTCGATTTATGCGTGTCATCCTTGCGCGGGGCCATGCTATCTTCTCTGCGTCGTTCCAATTAACCACTACCAGGCAGTACCTGGCCCACACTTGGCCCAGCTATCGATGCCGAGCCTCGGGGCACCCTGCGCGCCAAGTTTCGACGAACCGCCAACGCGACTTTTTTATTTCGTTTTGGCTGGCCCCTCCAGCCATTGTAGGAGGGCAGTGTTAGGACCTACTTGTACCGGTGGCCCTATTCGGTCCATCAGGGCCAGGCCCATAGCCCGTCGCGACCTGAAAGGGCTGGTGTCGCACCCCCCGCGGCTTCCCTGTTCAATTCGGATCCCCTCCTCGGGCCGAGGACAGCGGGGTTGATGGACTGGCAGGTTGTACGCAGGAGGCAAGTGTGTCTGGGTCAGCCCTAGCCGCCAACCTCAGGGCATGCTCACTGGCATACCGCGAGGACGCGGGCTCGCAGGCCGTAGTGTCGACCAACCCCTCGGTGGAGGACAATGTTTTCCCACGCACCTTTAGACATGACTGCAGTCTTCCTACGCACCTTTAGACATGACTGCCGTCAGATGCATCCGCTGGGTAATGACTGCAAACAATGGCGTCAAGTCCACTCCCTGGATCCGACGGGCAGATTGTGCCTTCGATGAAGACGCTCGTACGATGGCCGTTGATTGATGCTTTCTCAGTTGTGAAATGATATGTAATGTAAAATAAAATTGCAATAAAACAAAAAACGAAAAACATCAACAGTGCCCGAATCTGGACATGTGAATAAAGATGTGCAGTTTTTGAAACCCAGGACAACTTCGCTGCCCAACTCCACGAAGAAGTTGAGATTGAGTGTCAATGGTGGTACTAGTGGCAGTTGGCCCCAGGGCGTAAATTTCGGTTGGCGTCCATAAATCCCGGTCCCAGATGGATTGTGCACCAGTACTTCGCCCAGCTATCAAGCCCGAGCCTCCGACGACCGGTAGGCCAATTCGTGCCGAGGCTCGGACTACCTGGAATTCAATTCCCGAGATGCAAAAACGAAAAGAGGGAAAAAAAAAAAAAAACATAGTGAAAGGGAAAAAGAAAAAGGAAAAAAAAAAAGAAATAAGAAATCGGAAGAAACAATGACCTGCTTTTCGTTCCCATTCACGACGAGGGTAGAGAGAGAGAGAGAGAGAGAGAGAGAGAGG